CAACCCCCCCTTCTCACAACTACCTACCTATATACACCCCCCACCCCCATCCTCCACTCACAGACACACACCTTCATATTAATATACACATCCACATATATATAAACCACAACTTTAATATACACATCCACATATATGTAAACCACAATTTTAATATACACATCCACATATAGATAAACCACAATTTTAATATACACATCCACATATATATAAACCACAATTATAATATACACATCCACGTATATATATACCACAACCCCCCCTTCTCCCAACTACCTACCTACATATACCCCCCATCTCCTTTCTCCACCCACAGCCACACTCCTTCATTTTAATATACACATCCACATATATATAAACCACAACCCTCCCCCATCCTCCGCCCACAGCCACACACTTTCATTTTAAGATACACATCCACATATATATAGACCACAACCCACCCCCTTCTCACAGCTACCTACCTACATACATACTCCCCATCCCCCTCCTCCAGCCACGGCCACACACCTTCATTTTAATCAGCGTACTCTCCCGGTCGATCTTCCCCAACAGTTCGTGTAGTGTCTCTGTCCCATTTGCGGCCCAGTGGTGTGGCGCAGCCAACAAGCGTGTAGGTAGGTAGCCCCACTCCACCACCCCATGCGACGCCTGCATGAAGTGCACCAGCCCACCCAACCCATCCGCTGACTCATGTGCGGGCGAGGCCGGAGTTTCTGGTGCATTGGGGTGTGTGGGGTGAGGGGTGTGTAGGTCAGTGTGTGAACAGGTGTGTAGGTAGGTAGCCCCACTCCACCACCCCATGCGACGCCTGCATGAAGTGCACCAGCCCACCCAACCCATCCGCAGGCTTGTGCGGGCGAGGCCAGAGTGTCTGATGTGTTGGGGTGTATGGTGTGAGGGGTGTGACGGTCAGTGTGTAGTGTGTGTGTTTATTTTTATTGACTGTATAGTGGGGTGTCTGTTGTAATGTATGGGGTGAGGGGTGTGCAGGTCAGTGTGTGGTGTGTGTGTTTATCATTTGTTGACTGTATAGTGGGGTGTCCGTTGTATAAGGTCAGTGTGTGGTGTGTGTGTTTATTATTTATTGACTGTATAGTGTGGTGTCTGTTGTATTGTATGGGGTGAGGGGTGTGGAGGTCAGTGTGTGGTGTGTGTGTCTATTATTTATTGACTGTATAGTGGGGTGTCTGTTGTATTG